TCAGAGCTGCTCTCTGTTCATTTTTGTGGTGAAAAGGTTATAATTTAAGCACACTTGACAGGTACACACAACCAAGTGGAAAGCTTTTATTCAGTAAATACTTATTTTTAGTCATATAAGAAGGTTGACTTTACTGCAGGCATTGCACTGCATAAACAGTGTCTGTTTAAACTGTGTTGGAGACACAACAGTGAAGAAAAAGGTCTAAAAATTAAAAGAACCAACAGTTACCAGCAGCAAAAGGGCATAAACATGGGGAAAAAAAAATTATTATTTCTTGCTCCTTGGAGGCTACTACAAGTTACTTGCAGTAATTAAAACCAAGTCTGAACTCCACAGTGTTGACAACAGGATGAGATGTTGCTTTCCAGGCAGAGGTAGCATTAATTATGCTGGGCTAGATTGCCTTTATTGACTTGTGCCATTTTGTCTCGGATGACCCTGTTGAAGGAGGGAAGTTAGATGACAGCCAGGGGCACACTGCACTAGAGCTGAGCTCATTCAAACACACGGAATTTCAGGACAAGAAAGAGAACTGCAGTGCTTTTCCTGCTCCCAGGTACCTATTTTGTGGTCCTGTATTTCTGTGACTTATGCTTTTTACTCTGACTAGTCAAAAAGACATCACAAAAAAAATCCCCAAACTGTAGCCTTTATTTCAGAATCTGAAAAAAAAAAAACCAACAAAAACCAAACCAATATACAAACAAACAAATAAAAAACCCCAAAAGGTAAGTAAAATTAGTAATTAGACTGTATAGATTAGCAATTATTGAAATTACTAATCTATACAGTCACTTTACAGGGCATCTGTGTATGTGGAAGGGAGCAAAACTAACCACACAGAACAGGTCAGGTTGGAGGGGACCACACTTGGTCGTCTGGTCCAACCTCCCTGCTCAAGCAGGATCATCCTAGAGCACACAGCGAAGGATTGAGCCCAGATGGTTCCCGAATATCTCAAATGAGGAAGACTCCACAACCTCTCTGGGCAATCTGTTCCAGGGCACAGTCACTGCACAGCAAATAAATTCTTCTTCATGTTCAGCTGGAACTTCCTGTCCATCAGTTTCTGCCTACATCAGTTGTGTCATGCCCTATTGCTTGGCACCACTGAGAAGAGCCCGAAAACATCCTCTCAGCACCGCCGCTTTAGATATTTATAAATGTGAAAAATGTGTATTTTATGATTGGCTTTTTGCAAATGTTAAAATGAATATTATATGTGTTGTGTTAGAAAGTAACGCTGTATTAATTCTCTTAAGTAGTGTGTTAAATATAGTTTTAAGTTATAAAAAAGGTTAGAATAGAAACTATGCTA